TTTGGGGAAGTGATCAGTATTTTTTTTTTTTTTTTTTACACAATTTGCTTATAGTAAAGAATTACTTTGCTATAAGCAAGCATTTACCTGAATGAAATCGATTCATTCAGGATTTTTTTTTTTTTTAACTGTGATTTGGCCACAGCTAATCACATGACACAGCTGGGCTGTGATTGGCCCAGCTTGTGCATGTGATCGCTGTGACCATTCACAGCTAACCACACTTGTATACAATGGATGGCATGAAAGGAAGCCATGATTGGATAGCATGAAAGGAAGTCATGATTGGTCACAGCAGGTCACATGGTACCGACAATGGGGCGGTACACAGATCTGTCATCGGCCTTGTTGTAGGTACATGGCAGGTGACAGATCGCGCCGCTGTGCGGCTCTGCTGACAGGCAAACTGCGCATGCCTGAAATGACGCCATATGGCGTCCACCTGGGGGATCGAGGTATTTTGCCGGCCGCCATCTGTCTATAGGCTGGGCGGGAACCTGTTAAAAACATATGCAGTTTGTCGCCATTGCACAGGTCATGCGCAGTTTTAAAGCATATCATGTTTGGTATCTATTTACTCGGCATACCATCATCTTTTATAGTTTACCAAATAATTGGGCAATATATTGTGTTTTTGTGCATTAAAAGTAAAAAAGTATATATTTTTTTAAATTGTGTTTGAAAAATTGTTGTGCGAATACTCTGTGACATAAAAAATTGCAGCACCCACCATTTTATTCACTAGGGTGTTTGCTTTAAAAAAATATATAATGTTTAATATAAAGTTAAATATATAGGGTTTAAATTAATTTCCTAGCAAAAAATACTTTTTTTCATGTGAACAAAAAATGTCAGAAAAGGCTTGATCTTCAGGTGGTTAGAAGAGTGAGTGATGTGTAGCATAAACTTCTAATGCTGGGCATAAAATGCCCCCACCCCTGAAAACGCCCCCTTTTTGGAAAGTAGACACCCCAAATTATTTGCTGAGAGGCATGTTGAATCAATAGAAGAGTTTATTTTTTTACCACAAGTTTTTGGAAAACGACAATTTTTTTTTTTTTACACAAAATTGTCACTTAAATGATTTATTGCTCACACATGCCATGAGAATATGTGGTGGAATTACTCCCCAAAATACATTCTGCTACTTCTCCCAAGTATGGGGGGTACCACATGTGAGAGACGTTTTGGCAGTCTAGCCAAGTACAGGACCCCAAAATCCAATAAACACCTTCAGGCTTTTAAAGGGCATTTGAGTCCCTTTGATAAAGTGTTGTGACACGAAACGCGTTAGGGAGTTGCCCTTAATCACCAGTCACCTACCACATGACCTTATGTAAGCCTAAGCAGCCATATTGGACTTTTTGCATGTAAGTGTATGTTTTATATGTTAATTTTTTCTGCTAAATACTTCATACATATGAATTAAAATACTATACTATTGGAGCAATTTTTCTTTTGGGCTCATTATTGGCATTTTTGAGCCCCCTTCCCCTAAGGTGCTCTGTCATCTTGGATTCATGCCTGCTTGTGAGATCCCTCTGGTGGTCAAGACAGATATTGCTGGATATTGCTATACCTGGTCTGCCTGATGTGGAGATATTGGAGAGTGGTAACCTGTCCTGGATAGATTACACCTGGTGGTTAATTCCTGTCTGTTGACTTCATCCTTACACAGAGTTCCCAAATCCTGAGCACCGTGGAGTAGGTCTTATTTCCTCCAATGTACTATTACTTGTGCTATCTGGTTAGTGCAATGTACATTCATTTTCTATAAGCCACGACAGCCACGAAAGTCACTATCTTCATGCTGTATTCATCACCATTGTCACGCTGCACCTATAGATTTTTCCTAAGGACTTATTCTCCTAATGCAAGAACTTCACTACGATAATTCATGTGACCCCTCTTAGCGCCGCATCATATATTTGTTTATTGGTTTTCATATTGGAGGTATTTGAGGTTTCCTCTGGATGCTGGCTGCTTTTAACCATAATACTCAGCGCTCATATATTTTGAAGATTTTTATTTCTCTTTACACCTTGTGTTTGATTTTCTTAAAAAAAATTATACCCCAATGTCACTTTAGTGGTGCTTCAAAAGCGTCTTCAAAGCCTCCGCAGAAGTCTATGACTCGCTTGCAGCACCTGCAACTTTTGACAGGCTTTTATGCAGCTTTAGCTTCGCTTTGTTTTGGAGGTATTGCAGGTACAAGATTTCAACACACACACACCAGTAATCTGCCAAGCTTCAATAAAGCTTAAAAAAAGTACCACTGAAGCATCATCGAAGCATTGTAGGATCATCAAAATTACATCAAAAAAGCATGCCGAAGAGGTAGGCCCCTTAATGTGTGTTGAAGTAAGTGTAAATGAGCCCTAAGGCTTCATGCACGCTGGGGCTTTTGTAAACACTTTACTCCTGACAGGAGGAAAGCAGCTTCAATTGTTAAAACAATCTGCGCAGTTAATAATAAAAGTCCATAAAAATAAACACATGAAAATTAAAATAAAACTAGAAAATCAGAAGTGTTTGCTGCTTACACATCAATTAGTGTTTTTCACCACACTTCAACAAAATGTATAACTTCCTCCATGATGCAGCACAATCCCATTGAATAATGTGACAATCCTTAATTCAAAACAATATAATGGTCCTTCAATATCCAATAAAGCTGTATTTCCTCCACCACAGTCATGTGATTTGTCGCTACCTTTCTCTTTTCTCAAGCTCAGTGACGCATGCAAACACCCAGTGATAATATGTACTCACTTTGCGCAATGGACATCAATGCAGATCAAGGTCATAAAACACTTGTTGCACCGCTTTTGGCACATGTGGCTTCAGCTATTCCTCTTGCTTCTTCCTCCTCAGTATTCATCACCCCAGAAACATCACAAGCAAAAATAGAATAGGACCACAATAGTACTCTCTGAATAGTCATAATTTATTAAAAGCTCCTAAAATCAATACTTCAAAAAAGTGCATATGCCATCTTTTTTTTTTTTTTAATAACTTTAAGTCCAGACACTTTCACCCCCTTCCAGTCCAGGCCAGGTTTCAGCTTTCAGCATTATCACACTTTGAGTGACAATTACTCAGTCATGCAGCACTGTACCCATGTGAAATTTTTATCCTTTTTTTTTGAGACAGAGCTTTTGTTTGTTGGCATTTGATCACCACTGGGTTTTTTTTTATTTTTTTGCTATATAAATGAAAATATACCAAAAATTTCGGGAAATATTTTTCCTTAGTTTTTGTTATAAAGTTTTGCAAATAAATAATGTTTCTTCATAAATTTAGGCCAAAATGTATTCTGCTACATTTTGGGGGTGATAAGCCAAAACAGTTATATTATTTAGTTTATGTGAAAGCTATAGAGTCTACAAACTATGGGATATATATTTGAAAATTGATCAGTTGTGATCCTAAAATGCTGGACACTGGTATGGCATATGGCAGTGACCAGGACGCTGGTATGGCAGTAGCCAGGATGCTGTTATGAGGTATGGTGGTGATCAGGATGCTGGTATGGCTGTGATCAGGATGCTAGTATGGGTTATGGTGGTGATCAGGGTGATGGTATGGGGTATGGCGGTGATCAGGATGCTGGTATGGCATATGGGGTGATCAGGATGCTGGTATGGGGCATGGCGGTGATCAGGATGCTGGTATGGGATATAGCGGTGATCAGGGCACTGGTAGGGTGTATGGCGGTGATCAGAGTGCTGGTATGGTGTATGGCGGTGATCAGGGCACTGGTATGGTGTATGGTGGTGATCAGGATGCTGGTATGGGGTATGGAGGTGATCAGGGCGCTGGTAGGGTGTATGGCGGTGATCAGGGTGCTGGTATGGCATATGGCAGTGATCAGGGTGTTGGTTTGGGGTATGGTGGTGATCAGGACACTGCTGTGGTGGTGATCAGGACATTGGTGTGGTGTATGGGGGTGTTTTGTGTGCACTGGGACAGGTGACAGGGCCTCCATGCATTATTTATTATTGATATTGTGGGGCAGTGATCAGGGAAAAAGAGGGAACTAAACTTGGGTGGCTGGCACTGCAGTGTGTCAGTATACAAGCAGCCTGACAGGCTGCTGTACACTCACACACAGTAGCATTGCTTTTCTCTGCTTTCACACTGAGTGCAGAGAGAAACAATCTTTACTTTCAGTTTTATTGTTTACTATGTGAGTGCTATGATTGGTTACAGCAGTCACATGGTAAAACACCACATGATCGCCTGAACACAGCGGTAATGTTATCCGCTGTGTCCGGGCAACACACCAATCACCGGGCCCTGGGGTGCGCGCTCTGTGAGCCGTGCAGGAGCCATCAATTACGTACAGGAACGTTAGCCCGCATCTGCTCTGCTTCCTGTCCGCTGTCTATGTAGAATGGGTGGACGGTAAGAGGTTAACCACTTGCCTACCAGGCACTTATACCCCCTTATTTACCAGGCCAATTTTCAGCTTTCAGCGCTGCCGCAATTTGATTGACAATTGCGCGGTCATGCAACATTGTACCCATATGAAATTTTGATAATTTTTTTCTCACAAATAGAGCTTTCTTTTGGTGGTATTTAATCGCCACTGGGCGCTTTACTTTTTGCGCTATAAATAAAAAAATGCAAAAAATTTGAAAAAAAAAAAAAAAAGTTTCTTTGTTTCTATTATAAAATTTTTCAAACAGGTATTTTTTCTCCTTCACTGATGTGCGTTGATGAGGCAGCACTGATGGGCACTGATAGGTGGCACTGATGGGCACTGATAGGCAGCACTAAAGGGCACTGATAGGCAGTACTAATGAGGTGGCACGGATAGGCGGCACTAATATGCAGCACTGATAGGCGGCACTGATAGGTGACACTGATGATGGGTACTGATAGATGGCACTGACTGGCATCACTGCTGGGCACTGACTGGGGCACTGACTGGCACAACCCCTGGGCACTGACTGGTGGCACTGACTGGCAGCACTGCTGGGCTGCACTGGTGGGTGGCACTGGTGGGCAGCACTGGTGGGTGGGCACAGGTGGGTGGCACTGGTGGGCACAGGTGGGTGGGCACAGGTGGGTGGCACTGCTGGGCACAGGTAGGTGGCACTTCTGGGCACAGGTGTGTGACACTGCAGAGTGGCACAGGTGGGTGCACTGCTGGGCACAGGTGGGTGCACTGCTGGGCACAGGTGGGTGATCTGCTGGGCACAGGTGGGCGGAGCTAGTGGGCGCACTGCTGGGCACAGGTGGGCGGAACTTGCGGGTGGCACTGCTGGGCACCGATCATCAGGGCACTGATCATCAGTGCCCTGATGATCGGTGCCGATCCCCGCTCTGACAACTGTCGGTTATCGGCAGTACTTTCCTCACGATCTGACAGCGTGAGGAAAGTGCAGCCGAGAACCGGCACTTGCATTTCCCTCTAATCAGCGTGTCATTGGACACCGCTGATCACGTGGTAAAAGGCCGCTGTGATTGGCCTTTTACCACATCACGTGATCAGCTGTGTCCGTAGGACACAGCGATCACGGAGATCGCCGGGTGCGCGCCCCCTGGGGCGCGCAGGAGAGCACGTTCAGGGAGGACGTCATATGACGTCCACTCAGAACTGGCCGGCCGCAGTGTAGCAGTCATTCGGCTATCTGTGGTCGGCAACTAGTTAAACACGCTTAGGAGCGTCAAGTTCTTGGGCGTTTATTTAATTGCCCAGAACATTCATTTATTCTGGCCATTGAAATGAGAAAAAAATGCTCAAGTGCCAAACGTACCTAGTGCTTAGGCTCGTTTAGATGCGTTTACACAAGTTTAGGCACATCAAGGCTTATTTCTTCAGCCAAAACGTTCCTCTCCTGAACACACAAGGGATGTTTTTTTTTTTGCTTCTAAAGTCCTGTAAACACTTATAGCATGCAAGGACACATAGGTTAACATGAAGGGGCATTTAGAGGCAAGAAATATGCCAAAAGTCTCTAAGACAGGCATTTTTGAGCTCAAGTGTGCATAAGGCTTAAAAGGGGTAAAAACTAAAAAATAAAAATCTGCTGTTACAGGAAACATCAAACAATGTTAATTGTACCTAAGCAGTAGTCTGAAAAGAATGTTTTGTCTGGAATTTCTTTAAAAATAGTGTTTCCTTTACTAGTATGAGAGTGTGCCCACAGACTCATAGCTGCTGTATATCTGCAATGTAAGATTTTAGGCACTGTTGCCTCTGATTGCTCTTCTCAGGAGATTTAGAGTGAGATTTGGTGGTTGTCATTACTGTGCTGCTTACTGTTCTCCTTTCCTGGAGGCTGTGATATGAAAGCAAAGCTCTGTCCCACCTAAGAGGAACATCTCAACACAGGGGCAGTGCAGAAAAAGCACAGTGACTCAGTAATAGGGAAAAATCAGCTGCAAGAGCCCACAGAGAATACTGGTGACTAGTCCTTTGCCCGCTCCCTGTTTCCAGATTTCAGTTTCTCTTTTAGGATTTGGCCAAATGCCAAAGGGGGAAGTCAGACAAGTATAGTAGTCAGATCAAAACTAAACAGTTAATATAAAAAATTACAGAAAGAACAGAGATTAGAGGGGTCACCAGGGAGTCACAAAGACTTAGTTATAGATAAGTAGAAAAACAAATGATCCGTCAAGTGAAAATCAAAATTGTTGGATCCGACGCCCTACCCACAAACAATTTACTTTTTACTCTACACCTCATCGAAGTTACCCCGCCTATGTCACTTTTTCATTACAGCCCCTCTTCTCCCTCTCCTAGTCTCTTCTGACATTAATCCCATCACCTGGTCTGACCATGCTTCTTTGACCCTAAACATGTTATTCCCTAATGTTATTCCAAAAACAGGCCATTGGCGCCTTAATGAGACCTTTTTATCCACGGAACATCTCCGTACAGAGCTCTCTCAAGGACTTGATATGTACTTTCAACTTAATGCAGGCTCTGTAACATCTACCTCAACCGTATGGGAAGCCCATAAGGCGGTATTTCGTGGCCTTTGTATCTCTATGGGCTCTCGTCTGAAGAGTTCCTCGGAGTTTGCCAGGATTGCTCTAGTCAGCCAGTTAACTCTGGCTGAACGTAAACTCCTTCCAAAACCGTCTATTTCCGGGCTGTATAGAGTAACTTCTCTCTTCGTGACCAAATTAAGGCCCTTGATGCATGTAGGTCCACGAGATCTCTCCTTTGGGTCAGGCAGAAATTCTATGAATTCTCTAACAAACCTCATCGTATGCTCGTTAATAGACTTAAAGCCCAATCCCCCTCTACGGTGCCGGATCACCTTGTCCAGCCGAATGGAAGCCCTACTTATGATCCTCATGTGATGGTTTCTCTTTTTGGCTCATATTATGAATCCTTCTATAACTGTTTGACCAAAGACCAACACCCTCCTCTTACAGAGATCTCTTCTCTTTTGATAGGTTTTTTGACCCTCTATTATTGCCTAAGCTTTCGTCTTCTGATATTGCGGCTCTTAACGCTGACATCTCGCCTGAAGAATTGTTTAAAACAGTCAAACACCTTCCCTCATGCAAAACCCTGGGACCAGATGGTCTTCTCTACTCTTATTATAAGACTTTCATTGGTACCCTGGCTCCCCACCTTCTCTCTTTTTATCACGACCTTTTTAAAGGTATTACTCCACAAACAGATTTCTCCTGCGCATACATCTCTGTAATTCCCAAACTTGACAAGGATCATTCTATCCTGGATAACTACCGTCCTATTGTCCGGGCTCCAGGGTATGACCAGAGGTATGTGAACTGACGCAGGGAAACGCAGGCTTCAGATATGTTATAAACAATATAATTTATTAACACTAACAATACATAAACGCAGTGCAATACTAAAACATAACACAGTGCAAACGAACCAAACCAAACCACCCACAGATAACAATACATACAATGCAAGCGTCATCAGGCAGGCCGGGTCAATAACAATCGGGCAGGTAGGAACAGGAGGAGCAGGCAGAGAGTAGTCAGGTCACGAGCCGGGTACAGCAACTAATGGGCAGGTAGGTACAGGGGGTCAGGCAGAGAATGGTCGGGGTCACAAGCCAGGGATCAAACAGGAGAAGTCAGCAGAGGTTCGGATCAGGCAGGGTCGGCAACGAATCAGTCAGACAGGAACAGGAACAGGAACAGGAATGCAGGTAACAAGATACAGGGGCCCATAGAAAAGCACACACCAAGGCACAGACTGCAGGTCTGGCCATCCCTTAAATACACCTGCATAATCAGCTTCAGGTGTTTGGCTGACTACAGGGTTGAGTCTCTGATTGCTGAGAGCACCCGCTGGCCAGCCCTGGTACTGCAGCCCACAAGGCAGGTGAGTCCCACCATTACTGGCAAGTCCATTCCTGACACCTATTGCTCTGCTGAATTCTGATTACAAGATTTTTACTAAGATCCTAGCCAATCGGCTGTCTAGACTCATCTCCAAACTCATACACAGAGACCAAGTAGGCTTTGTCCCAGCTAGACATGCAGCGGACAACACCAAGAGATCTATTAATCTGGTTGACTTGGTTAACCGGTCTTCTATTACCTCCATTCTATTGAGCCTGGATGCCCAAAAAGCATTCAATCGTCTCAGCTGACCTTATATGTTTATGGTTTCGGAGAAGTTTGGCTTCCGTGGACCTTTTGTGGCAGCTTTGAAAGCTCTCTATTTTCATTCTTCCTCGCAGGTCAGAATGGCCTCCTTTCTCTCGCCCCCTTTCCAGATGTTGAATGGTATGCGTCAGGGATGTCCTCTCTCTCCTCTGTTGTTTATTCTCTCTTCGGAACCACTGGCTATTGCAATCCGGTCCCATCCTGATATTTAAGGCATAACGTCTCATGGTCGTGAATACAAATTGTCCCTCTTTGCGGATGATATTCTCCTTACACTCTCGAACCCTCAAATCTCCCTCCCAACACTGCATAAACTTTTACAACAGTTCAGGGCCCTCTCGGGTTACAAGGTTAACACTTCCAAGACTGAAGCACTCCCACTCCATATCTCACCAGTTGTCCTCTTGTCCCTGCAAGAATCTTTTCCGTATTGATGGTGCACCTGCTCTCTAAAATATTTGGGTACTAACCTTACTTCCTCTTATAGTTCAATATATGGCGCCAACTTCCCCCCCCTATTCATAGCTATTTCCCGTTCCCTGAAATCTTGGGATACTCTACCCTTATCATTCTTGGGACGTATCAACGTCATAAAGATGACTGTTTTACCCAAACTTTTGTATTTATTTGCGACCCTACCTGTACCTGTCCCTATGTCAAAGCTACACTCCCTGCAGAAATCTTTTCTACATTTCATCTGGCATAATAAGCGACATAGAATTGCACATAGTGTACTGCTTTCTTTGCGTTCTAGAGGAGGCCTGAGTGCACTGGATATTGTGACCTATTTTTATGCTGCTCATCTCCGCTTCCTTACATCTTGGTCCACTCTATCCCCTTCTAATCTGTGGACCGAGATAGAATCCTTGCAATTGACCCCGACTCACCCCTGTTCTCTCCTATGGTCATCTTCGAAGGTGGACCTTTCCCCTATTCATTGTCTGTTCCTTGGCCTCATGCAATTCTCCATGAGTACATGGCGGAAATGTAAAACCAGGTTTGCACTAGCCTCCGATTGCTCCCCACTGATTAATATCCTTTTTAACCCCAACCTTCCAGATAGTCTGGCGGTGCCCCGAATGGCCCCTTGGGTCAAGGCCAGACTTTTCCAACTTCGTCACCTAGTGCATCCTGTTACTCGAAAGCTGCAACCATTCTCACATTTCCAGAATAAAGATCTGCCCTCCCTCCATTTTTATATATATCTCCAGATACGTCACTTCTTCTCCACTATATCCCCCACGCTGACTCTTGGGAGTCCTACTCCCTTTGAGCATCTCCGTATACAAGGTCCACATCAAAAGGGCATAGTTTCTAATATATATAAAATTCTTATGGATGCTGCTCCCCTCGCTAATGACACTCATCACTATATGCGTAAGTGGTCTCAGCTTTTGCAATGTGACATTGACCTTACACAATGGAAGAAAATCTGGGACAACACGTCTAAATCTTCCGTTTGTGTGGTTTATAAAGAAAACACATATAAAATTTTGATGCTATGGTACAAAACTCCCGAAGTTGTCCATGCATTTAATCCGAGTGCTTCTTCTGCTTGCTGGCGTTGTGGGAGGGACATTGGCTCCCTCTTCCATATTTTTTGGACTTATGGTTCCATTGTCCCTTTTTGGAAAGAGGTTTAATCTTTTTTACAATTGTTATTGCAGACATCTCTCCCTTTTGAGCCTCTGCACTTTTTACTGAGCCTGCCTTTTCCGGGTCTTCCCAGAATGGCCAGGAAACTCTCCACACATATTCTGACTGTGGCCAGAAGAAGCATTCCTATGTGTTGGCTATCTGCTATACATCCTTCGATGTCAATGTTGTTTAAAACTATTGCTGATGTGCGACAGATGGAGTACCTGACTGCTATACACGCCTGTTCGATTCCTGTGTTCAAGGCAGTGTGGCACCCATGGGACAATTTCTCCTCCTCCCGCCTTTCTACAGATGTTTAGTGTTGACAGCCTCCTCAGTGTAACTATATGTCATTATTATGTTTGTAACCATGCAGATCTCGCCATCGATGTGCTCCTTCTTTCTCCTGTGATTTTTTTTTTGTATGTATATATATCTTTGTGGAAAATCAATAAAAATTGTTAATATGAAAATCAAAATTGTTGTTCGATTTTTCATACGATTGTTCAGTCAATTGTTTTGGAATTTTATTTTCCTTCATCTGTGGAGTGATGCAATGTATTTTTAAGGATATTGCCTTGAAATAATACCAATATCTGGGTTTATTATGATAAATACAATAACTTTGCTTCACACACTTCCAGTCTCATCTATCTGGATTTCTTGATATTATTACAAGGCTGCAATACAGACAATATTGAATTTGCTTGACCCCTATAGCCAACTCTGGCTACAGGAAATTCTTTATTTCCTATACTAGAAAAACACACACACACACAATACTAGAAAAACACAAACACACTACACTATGGTCATCAAAATAAGATATGACAGAACTTTCGTGATTTTTCAAACAATAACCCTATAAACGATCAGAAAATCTTTTGTTCTTATAAAAATTTACAACATGTTCGATCTGTCATTTTCAACGGCAGCATGAAAATCTGAATGTTGCTATGGGCACACTAATGATTCAAGAATCGAACAATCGTTCTTTCAACATGAAATTTTGCTTGGACCACATGAACTAGATCAAAAAGATTGATGGGAGCAACCACACAAAAGAGAAGCAACCAGTGTGCAATGGAACAGAAGGTTGCCAAAAAAATACAGAAAAACAAAAAACAAAAAAGAATAATCTGTACAGCTTTTAGTAGAACATTTGGTTGTCAGAAGAGCAGACTAGAGCAGACTAGATAAAGGCAAGGCAAAATACTACACATAAAGAAATTTGTATTTAAGCAAAAGATGAATGGACACACCCATTTAAATAGTCAGTGGTAGTGCAAACATTTTATTGAAATGGTCTTTAGCCAGATCCTCACATTGCCTCTAGTTTCCTGAGGCACATGCAGGGCACCTAAGAAATCTCAGCCATAAGCCTTATTTCTCGCTTAGAACTCAAATTTAAAAAATAGTATTGGAGGAATAGCATGGTGTCAGGAATACAGGGGTTTAACATAAACAAGCATAGTTGATTGTTTCACAATGTCCAGCACAATTAGACCCTTCAAAATGTAGCCTTTAGAGTTCACATTTAGAACATTTGTGATGCCCAACACAATCAGAATCTTTCTAACAAAGGTTACTATATGATAAAGCCTGTAAATAAAATAGTGCAGCACTAAATTGATGATTCAAAATATAACCACAGGAGGAATAAATAAGCAATAATATATATGAGCGTACTTATGAGTATTAATACGTATAGATATAGAAACATATGATGAGTATCAATCCTGAACAATATAAAATAACATTGGGCAAAGTAATCCGTAATGGTGACTAAATAGTGCTCTTAAAGTCCCCAAAGCTTCAAATGGTGCTTGTGCTTGTGATAGCAGAAGAAATGTGCACTCACCGGTCGCACAATAGTAATGCGTGTTTAAATATATTATCCTAAAGTCATCAAGGTAATTATCTGGACCAGTTGGTAGAAACAAGGGCTCCTTCTCAGGGTGGATGGGTCCTGGGACTTTAGATGTTGATGATCCAGGGGTGTCCAGAGTTCCCCTTAAGGGATATGTGGGTGCAGCTCACAAGGGTTAACAGGAGACTCCCTCTCTGGAAGCAATGGGCTGGTGCTGGGTGTCTAAAGCATTAAATGCTCCCCACAGGGGTCAAAACGGAAGAATGCCAATAGTGTAGTATGTAGTAAAACATTTATTGGTAGATGAACAGGATGCATCCAAAAACAAACACCAAAATTTGATAGGACTGACCGTCCCTGAACATATATGGCCGCCGGAGGATCCAAAGTGTGAAAAGCATGCTGGCAACAACATTTCTTGTCAACACAACAGTTAATCAGAATGTTTGTTTTATTGTCAACTCTAGAGTAAAAAAGGTCAAATTTATATTTGAAAAAAAATCTTGTTAGCACACATTTAGCATATAAGCCCCAAAATGGCTTGTGCTGCAGTTTTACATTATATGAAAATATTACGAAAGGTAAACTTGATCTTGAAGCCTGAGACTTGGAGTTGACACTTGCCTGGTTCCAAAGTGGGCACTAGATGTCACTCTAGTACATCTTACAATTCAATTGATTTTTCCTGCTCAAACAGGACTCACCAATACTACTCTTGTCCAATCCTCTACCAAGACCAACTCAGGTCAGCTCTACCTGGTTTTCTCAGAAACCATCATGCAAAAATGTTTGCACTATGCATTTTCTTTTTTTCAATTGAGATCTATAGGTTGGATGCCCCCAAAGTTCAATTTGTTCTTACTTCAATTACTTTAAAGTCAATCACTACTGCCCATTACAGATTTGCTAAAAACAGAAAAATGCCAAAGAGAAACTCTTTGAATGCACAAAAGGAATTCTGATAAGTAAATGCAAATTACTTACCCTCTAACCTTGGACCTAATATAGAGCCAGAAAAGTTCTTAATTTACATATACTGTAGCTATACACCTAATGAGCATCTCTTATGATGTAAGAAGACTAACTCCACTTTTGTTGAGAATAAAATGATCACCTCTGGGTGATCTATGTACATTGGATTGATTTTTGAAAAGTTTGTAGCAGAATCCTACATTTTGCTCTTGTGAAGAAAAAAGCTCTTTGTTTTACCATACTGATTCTGAATGAGAGGATCTGGTTTATTATAATCAGTTGGTGTTCTTTCTATGTTCCAGTGTAAAAAGCAGCAGTATCTGCATATTTTTAGTAGTATTTAACCCTTACGGAGCATCACAAGGAGACTTCCTATTGCAGGGGATGCCTAAAATTTGAGTTGTATATTATTGCAGACTTCTGAGAATATCAGAGAGCTAATCACACAAGCAGGTAATGACATTCCTGGGGCATTACCTCCAGGTTGCCATATTACATTGAATTTTACAATTAACAACAGCAGCTGCAGCTTGAAAAGGAAATAACATTAAATTACAATATGGCTTGTCAAGCAATTGTATATGTTGTATTATTTATTTTTGTTATTTTTTTTAATCAAAAATGGAGTTACCCTTTAAGTTTATAGGTTTTTCCATGGTGTTTGAAAAACATACAAAGATCCAGTCGCTCAAATGCACAAAGACGCATGTATATATTAGAGCAAAATGAACATTACTTATTATTATTATTATACAGGATTTATATAGCGCCAACAGGTTGCTCAGCGCTTTACAATATAACTGGAGACAATACAGCAACAATACAGTTCAATACAAGAGGGATTTGAGGGCCCTGCTCCTCAGAGCTTACAATCTACTTAACTACTTGCCAACCGCAGATAGCCGAATGACGGCTACACTGCGGCCGGCCAGTTCTGGGAGGGTGTCATATGACGTCCTCCCAGAACACGCTCTCCTGTGCGCCCCCGGGGGCGCGAACCGGGCGATCTCCGTGATCGCTGTGTCCTACGGACACAGCTGATCATGCGATGTAGTAAAAGGCCAATCACAGCGGCCTTTTACCACGTGATCAGCCGTGCCCAATGACACGCTGATCACCGGGAAATGCAATTGCTGGTTCTCGGCTGCACTTTCCTCATGCTGTCAGAGCGTGAGGAAAGTACTGCCGAGAACCGGCAGTTGTCAAAGCAGGGATCAGCACCAGTCATCAGGGCACTGATGATCGGTGCCCAGCAGTGCCACCCACCAGTTCCGCCCACCTGTGCCCAGCAGTTCACCTACCTGTGCCCAGCAGTGCACTCACCTGTGCCACCCAGCAGTGCCACACACCTGTGTCCAGCAATACCACCCACCTGTGCCCACCCACCTGTACCCACCAGTGCAGCCCAGCAGTGCTGCCAGTCAGTACCACCAGTCAGTGCCCAGTGGTTGTGCTAGTCAGTGCCCAGCAGTTGCTCCAGTCAATGCCTAGCAGTGCCGTGACACCTCATTAGTGCTGCCTATCAGTGCCGCCTATCCGTGTCACCTCATTAGTGCTGCCTATCAGTGCCGGCTATCAGTGCCCATCAGTGCTGCCTCATCAACGCACATCAGTGAAGGAGAATAATTACCTGTTTGAAAAATTTTATAATAGAAACAAAGAAACTTTTTTTTTTTCACATTTTTTGCACTTTTTTTGGTTATAGCGCAAAAAGTAAAGTGCCCAGCGGCGATTAACTACCACCAAAAGAAAGCTCTATTTGTGAGAAAAAAAGTATAAAAATTTCATATGGGTACAATCCTGCATGACCGCGCAATTGTCAATCAAAATGTGACAGTGCTGAAAGCTGAAAATTGGCCTGGTAAAGAAGGGGGTATAAGTGCCCGGTAGGCAAGTGGTTAATATAGTTTGTCAAATATATACCTTCCACAGAAAGAACAAATGAATACAATAAGGCAGGCATCACTAAATGGTGCTTGCAGTTTGAAACCAGACCGAGTCAGTGTCCCATTCTCACAGAGCCGACAGTGGGATGCGAGACAGCTCTGGATGAAGGGCGGGGGCTGCTCAATTTAACAAACAGGTGACTGGTTGCTGAGATGCAGGGCGGTTGTGCAGGGCTGCAGTTAGAAACCACAAGGCCCCATACAGCCAACCTGACAGCCCCCCCCCCAAAAAAAAACCCCACAGTTTACTATGCTTCGGTTATGAACAAACACAGTGTAGGATCAGTACCCATCACTCATTGTGTTCATCCAGGAAATGAAGGGGATGGTAATTGTGACATATTTACTGAATCCTTCCCCCACTCTTCACCCTGAAGGATCCTGTCGCTTGCACCTGCTGGTGGGAAGGAGAGGAGGGAAGCCGGCAGCACTGCAGGGTGTGGAGGCAGCAGGGGGAAATGTATGGTGCATAGGGAAGGTTATGGGTTCAGGGGAGGAAAGGGGGAGGAAAGGGGGGCAGTTACTGGAACCAATCTCCTGTATGGCTCTTTCTGAAGCTGCTGAAAGCTGGCTTCTTCTCCTCTCCCTCAGCTGCTGAAGAGAGAGCCATAGAAGGGATTGGTTCCAGTGATTGCCCCATCGTGCCGATCAAACTCTTTCCCACATCTGATTCACCAAGCTGCCTGGGCCCCCCTGCTGGTCTGGGCACTGTACAGGACTGGTGGTGCCCCCTTATCCACAGCCCTGCTGTTATAAAACCAATCACCAGCTTGCAGCTCCCATCCTCTGTCCAAACATGCTGTGCCTCCCATCTTTCTTCCTGTCTGTGTAAGTGAGAACAGGAATGGGGGGAGGGGCTAAGAAGGGATCTAAGGACATTAATGGGGTCATTGAGAACAGTAATGGGGGAAGGGGCTCAGGATGGTTAAGGGGGAGCTTAGGACAGTAAAAAGGGGAGCTTGGGACAGTAATGGGGGAAGTTTTTAGTTTCTGGGTGGCTCCTTTCTCCTGCCACCCTTACATATAGGGCCTAGAGTTGTGTCTTCCTACACTGTGTGCATCAATAGAAACACACAGCCCCATAGCATAGGATGGCAAGGCACTCCCCTGCTCATCCGTCCATTCTCCAAGATAACTGGCTGGCTTGAGACTGTCTACTGTTAATTTTTTGTCCTAAGAAGACCAGACATTCAGAGAATCAGCACTGAGAGAATAAGCAGCATTGAAAATTGTAATCTGCAAGTGCTGAGGTAAGAATTTGAAGAAATAGTTTCCTGAGGAATATTTATTTTACTGTGCTCAATGTGTTAGGCAAACAAACGCTCAAGGTTCAGTACTATTTTAGGATGCATACATGGAGTGTACCCTTCTTCCTCAGTACTTCAGTTTTTTACATACAGTATACACACAGAAGTGTTTCCAATGTAAGTGGAAGCTGCTTATGCAATGCATGTAAAAACTGACATCATATGGTGCATAGAAACTGGAACTTGTGCTGGACCTGCAATCAGCCATCCATATTGGCATATATTAGGTATAAAACATAAAGCATTCAAGATTCCAGGATAACAAAACCCATTTATTATTATTATACAGGATTTATATAGCGCCTACAGTTTGCTCAGCGCTTTATAATATAACGGGAGAGAATAGAGCAACAATACAGTTCAATACAAGAGGGTTAGGAGGGCCCTGCTCTTTGGAGCTTACAATATAAGAGGGAGGGGCTAGTGGTACAAAAGGTAGTAACTGTGGGGGATGGACTGGTAGGAGGAGTAGAAGATTCCATTATTAGCTGAGGGCAGGATAGGCTTCCCTGAAGAGATAGGTTTTCAGAGATCACTAAAAGTGAGCAGAGTAGGCGATAGTCTGATAAATTGGGGTTGAGAGTTCCAGAGGATGGGGGAAGCTGTGGAGAAGTCCTGGAGAGGAGCATGGGAGGAGGAGACAAGGGAGCTAGAGAGCAGGAGATCATGCGAGGAACGGAGAGTTTGGTTTGGGTGATATTTGGTGATGTAATTTGGGGCAGAGTTATAAATGGCTTTATGTTATTGTTAATGTTTTGGGGGTGAATTTTATCCGTTGGGCAATGGGAAGCCAGTGGAGGGATTGGCAGAGAAGGGTGGCAGATATGGAATGATTAGTAAGGTGGATGAGTCTGGCAGCAGCATTCATGATAGACTGAAGAGGGGGTAGCCTGTGATGAGGTAGGCCAATGAGGAGGGAGTTACAATAGTCAAGGCGAGAGATAACAAGGGAGTGAATAAGTTGCTTAGTAGTTTCCGAGGTTAAGAACGGCGGTATCTTGGAGATGTTGCGGAGGTGAAGTTTACAAGATTTGGACAGCAAATGGATTTGGGGCTGAAAGGACAGATGGGAGTCTAGGATTACACTAGCACCCTGGCATGAGGGGAGGGACTGTGTTATTGATCTTAAAGGATAAGTCAGGGGAGGGGGTACAGGCTGGAGGGAATAGTATGAGCTCCATTTTGGAAAAATTGAGTTTGAGGAAGTGGAGTGACATCCATGCTGATATGTCACTTAATAGGTTAGTAATGCGACAGGAGACTGAAGTAGTGAGGTGAGGAGTAGAAAGATAGATTTGTGTGTCATCAGCATAGAGATGGTACTTAAAGTCATGGGAGTTTATCAAGTGACCAAGGGAGGAGGTGTAGATGGAGAAGAGTAGGGGTCCAAGGACAGAACCTTGAGGGACCCTACAGAAAGAGGGAGTTGGGAGGAGGAGCCAGAGTTATAAGTAACGCTAAAGGAGCGCTACGATAGGTAGGAAGAGAACCAGGAGAGAGCAGAGTCTCGGATGCCAAGAGAGTGGAGTTTTTTTGAGAAGGAGGGGATGGTCAACAGTATCAAAAGCCGCGGAGAGGTCAAGTAGTAAGAGTACGGAGTAGTGGCCATTGGTTTTAGCAGTTAGTAGATCATTAGTGAGTTTTAGTAGGGCAGTTTCAGTGGAGTGTAGTAAGTGAAAGCCAGACTGTAAAGGGTCAAGAAGGTTGTTGTCAGTGAGGTAAGAGCTCAGGCGATTGTAGACTAAACATTCTAAGAGTTTAGAGGTAAACAGGAGCAGGGAGATGGGTCTTAAGTTGTTCAGGCTGGTGGGGTCCAGGGAGGGCTTTTTAAGTATGGGAGTGATGTGTGCATGTTTTAGCGGGGAGGGGAAGGTACCATTAGAGAGAGAGATTGAAGATGTGAGTGAGGGAGCATAGGATGGAAGAAGAGGGTGACCGTAGTAATTGTGAGGGGACAGGATCCGGGGGGCAGGTAGTGAGATGGGCTTCTGAGAAAACCTTAGTGACCTCTTCTGTAGTAGCAAGGTCAAAAGGAAAAGTGTTGAGGGAGGTTTAGTATAAGGTATGCTAAGTAGGATGGATGTCTGTGCAGTGGAGTTGCCCCTTACGAATTGCATCAATCTTGTTTTTGAAATGATTTACAACCTCGTAAGCAGTGAGTGAGGTACTGGGTGGGGGTGGAGGTAGGGAAAGTAGAGAGTTAAGAGTGGGGAAAAGAGACGATGAGGACTGGATGACATGCTATTGATGAGAGTGACAAAGTAGTAGCTTGTTTGGCAGCATGGAGGGAGGAATTGTCTGTTAAGAAAGTAGATTTATATAGGGTGAAAACTTGGTGAGATTTGGTTTTCTGCCACAATCGTTCCAGCGTACGACTATGTCGTTTACGATTTCTGGTGTTGTCAGTCTGCCAAGGTTGTAATGGTCGGAGCCTGATGCTTTGTGTTATTAGAGGAGCAAGTGAGTCTAGTGTGGATGATAGCAAACTGTTGTAGACAGCAGTGGCCAGGTCAAGGCAGGACAGGGGAGAGATTCTGTCATAGAGGCGGTCAGTTGCAGAGTGGAAAAGAGCAGGGTTCAAGTTGTGAAGGTTTCTGCGGGTAATTGTTTTCTGCTTGCAGGGATAGGTGTTTGAAGATGAGTACACTGTGAAGGTGATGAGATGATGATCAGAGAGAGGAAAGGGGGTGTTTGTGAGGTTGCAGGGAGTGCAATGATGGGAGAAAACAAGGTCTAAGGTATTCCCATCAGAGTGAGGGGAGGACTGTGTCCATTGCGTTAAGGCAAAAGATGAGGTTAGGTTGAAGGGTTGGGATGTAGCCGAGTTGTTCACATTAATGGGGATATTGAAATCTCCAAGAATGATAGTGGGTAGTTCAGAGGAGAGAAAGTAGGGTAGCCAGGCAGAGAAGTCATCAAGAAAGTGGGACACTGGTCCAGGAGGCCGATAGATCACTGCAATCCTCAGAGAAATGGGAGAAAACAGCCAAATGCAGTGAGTCTCCAAAGAAGAGAAGGATAGAGAGGGAGGGTTAGAGAGGACTTGAAAGGTGCTCAGTGGGGATAGAAGCAAACCAACCCCACCTCCTTTCCTACCACTGGGTCTGGGTGAGTGGGTCCAGAGAAGGTCTCCATAGGAAAGTGCTGCTGGAGAAGAAGAATCTGCTGCTTGAAGCCAGGTTTCTGTAATTGCTAGTAGGTTAAGGGAGTGGGAGACAAAAAGGTCATGGACAGAGGTGAGCTTGTTACAGACAGAGCAGGCGTTCCAGAGTGCACATGAAAAATGGAGGGTGGTTTTTAGGAGCACAGGGATTGATATTAAATTGAGTGGATTGCGCCTATTCCTGGAGGAAAGAGGGTGCCTGGTGTGGGGTGAGATAGTGGA